AGTCATACACATATGCCAACAATTGCATTGTCTTTGCTCTACTGGTTCTTGTACAGAGTTCTGGTGTTTCCTGTCACTGTGGGCCTCACAGCACAGTAGTACAAGGCAGAGTCTGTCACTGCAGCAGAGGAGATCAGCAGGTCCATCTGGGCTTCATTTTTTCTAACTTTACCAGAAAGTCTGGATAGAGAATCCTTCCGTTTTTCCTCAAAATCCGTAATAAAGATCAGGAACTCTGGTTGTTTTCCTGGAAATTGTCGATACCAGAAGAAATAATCCGCTGCACCTTTTCTGTAACTGCAGGACAGAGAAACAGAACTGCCTTCTGAACTGGACTCTTGATTTGTGACCATAGTTGCTTGTTTACAGCTGACTCCTGAAGAAAGATGATGAAAACTGTTTACTCTTTACTTGTTTGACTATTTCTTTTGAGACAGTTGCATTTTAACATGTTTGAATTTAAAATGTGTGCTGATTAAAAGATTAATCTTACCAGTTAAAAGTGAGGCAACAAGCAAAGAGCTTATATAATACTCCATGTTGAGTTGATGACTGTGTTGAACTGGTTTGAATGTGGAAGTTTGTGAGTTCCATAGTACAGGGACAGCTCAGCTCCTCCCTGAAGCTCTCAGTTCCTCTTTCTCTTGGCAACAGGCTGGGACTGTATAAAGTTTTACTGGAGAGATGCAAAAATAAGACCACAGACTGAAAAGTTCACTCAAAGGTCAGTTGTAAGAAGTATTTTTGGTCTCATGGTAAAAAGCAAGTTTAGGGACAATTAAAATTGCTTTACATGAATTACATGGTAAAAAGAAAGAAAAAATGAAAGTAAAGGAAATAAAAAGATGAGACTGTGTCCCCTAAACTGGAAGTTTAATCACCATGAACACAGAAGCTTTTATTTCCATCAGACAGGTGGAAGCATCATGCTCTGAGTGAATCTCAGCACAACGCCCTGCGAGGATTGGGAATTTAGAGAAAAGCATTCAAGGTGTGCAACTAGTGTGCAGTTTTATTAGCAAAAAGTGTTTATTGATTTAATAAATACATATTCTGCCACAGACAAATAAGGGTCAGTTTAAAAATAAATGACACGTTCATCTTTTCATAGGTGTAGGTACAGCTGATGGAGGACACAATGTTGGATCAGCATGTTTAGTGTTATCTTTCATTATTTATGACAAACTTGTTAGCTCTGCTATTCATCCTGTATAAGAATTGGTGTTGTCATTGGACAAGGAGTGAGCATAAACAACATAAATCTTTTCACTTTTCTGTTTTATGTTCATATTGAGGTCACTCATAATCTTTGCCCAGCAAGAGGAAAGAGGAAATAACCATAACCATAAAGAAGAAGAGGTAAAAAACAGAGAGGACAAGATTCTACATCAACATAGCTTTTATCAGGTGTAGACAAGAGGAGGGGTGTAAGTCTTCAAAAGAGGTTTTAGGCTTTCTTCTAAGCAGGCAAAGAAATTCAATATAACAATGAAGCTTACTTTGCTGTTATATTAGGAAAAGGGCAGTGTTGTCTAACAACTACTCTTTCGTCCTGACCAAGATAGTTTGTTTGTTTGTTAGCCTACAGTGGAAGAACTCAGTTCAATTCAGTTTGTTTATAAACTACCAATTCACAACACATAAAATCTCAAAGAACTTTAAGGGGACAATTCAGTCATAATCATATCAAGTTTCTATCTGAGGCAAATCAGCTAATTGCATTGAGTCATTGACTTTAAGGACAGGCTCCCCCTGGACGAGATCAGGACAATAATATTTGCTTGCATTTTGTCATTGACTCTACACAATCTCTAACACTGCGCATGCATACAGCGACAGTAGAACACAGCTCAGTGGTAATGGCCATCCAGGTCGACTGGGGTTCAAGGAGACAGAAGCAGACACACGAAAGAAACGTAGAAACTCTCATCTATAAATACTTTCTATGTTAGATAAGAAATCAGCTCCACAAGCTTTGTCTAGTAAATATAAAGTTAAGCAGATGAGGAAGTTTTTCTTTGAAAGGCAATAAAGTTAGCACAAACATGTATTCATAGTAAAAGCTGAGCTCCGAAGTCTAGCAGAGAAACAGGACTCAACACTAAAATACAGGTCCAACTCTGTCATCTATAACTAAAGGAGTTGATGGCAGCGGTCCGGCTGACATATCTCACCAGGATGGTGTTGCAGACAAATGGAAACAGACCAGCAAAAGCCATGACAAAAAAAAAATGCAAAGAGAACAAATTTTACTATTTTATCTTTTGAATCTTCACTCATCTGTTCTGGATAATCTTTGGTCTTCTTCAGTTGTTCCTTCTATTCTTTTTATTCTTCTCTAAGAGGAACAAAATTCTGTGTTAGCAGAAACATCTGGTTGGACCTATGGAAAAGCTTTAAGGGTTTATTGTCCTGCAAACATTTCCCCTTCCTCCACACGCTCAATCAGCTGATGTTTCTTCAGACATGGAGCTGTCAAATGAGTCTCCAGGTGAGTCTGACAGTAGGTGAGTCTGCCTACACCAGGCAGGACTTATGTCTTTCAGTTTGGTTCCAGGGCAGATGAAACAGGGAACTTTTGCTCAATTGGTAGCTTGTTTTTATGATATTTCTGGTGCAGCGGACTAAGTCTATAGCAGGATAAATATATTGGAAAGGAAAGCCTCATGGAATAAAACTGGTAGTTGGTTCCACGGGAGAGGAGCCTGATAACTAAAAGATCTGCCTCCCATTCTATTTTAGAAATCCTAGGAACCACTAGTAAACCTGCAAATGAGAGCGAAGTGCTCTGTTAGGAACATAAGGAACAATCAGATCTCTGATGTAAGATGGAGCTTGACCATTTAAGGCTTTATACAGTATGTGAGAATAATGTTTTTAAGTTTTAAAATTCTGGAATAACAGAAAGCCAGTGAAGAGAAGCTAGAATAGGTGAATCTCATAAATCTGTCAGCAGCGTAGACAGATACAGTTAATCATAGTAAAGAATTACAATAGTCCAGCCTTGAAGTAACAAATGCATGGACTAGTTTCTCAGCATCAACCCTGCGCAGGAGATTTCTAATTTTGCAAAATTAAATTCCATATTCAATTTCCAGATGAAAGAAGGTAATTCTAGAAACCTGATCAAAAACAACGCCAAGATTTTTTACTTTATTAACTGAGATCAATTTAATCCCATCCAAATGAAGTGACTGACTAATCAGCTTATTTTTCAGACTCTGGTCCAAAGAGTATTTCTGTCTGCAATTTGTTTTGTCTGCATTCAGGAGCAGAAAGTTAAGAGTCATTCAGGTTTTTATGTCTGCAGATATGCCTGTAGTCTATGTAATTTCAGATTGAAACCAAATGAACAATTTAAGTAGAACAGGTTGTGAAGGCCCTCTAGTGGATGTAATGGAGTATTGCATGTTATTGTACAGAGTTCTGGTGTTTCCTGTCACTGTGGGCCTCACAGCACAGTAGTACACAGCAGAGTCAGACAGACGGAGATCCTGGATCGTCAGATTAAAAGCTGAGTTCTTGCCCTCTGCAAGAAATCTGTTTTCACTGAATTCAGGAGCGTTATCTCCCTCTGATGAAACACGTTTCAGCATGTACTTTGGAAAGCTGTTTT